ATCAATAAATAGATCAGTATCGAAATGATCGTTCTCCATTTCAGCACATATATCTCAAAGCGCTCGGCTGACGCCCGCAAAACGCGCGATCGCATGTACGGTAACATGGCAGCACATATATCTCAAAGCGCCCGTAAAGCGCTCGCAAAACGCGCGTTTTAACAAAAATCTATAAGCGCTCGCAAAACGCGCGTTTAACGCGCGCTTGGCTTTTGAGTGTGTACGGCTACATAGAACTCTTGGTTCTTATAAGCGCTCGCAAAACGCGCGTTTAAAAGCGCTCGCAAAACGCGCGTTGAAAAACGCCTAGTGTGTACAGGGTCTTACTATTCATCTTTACTGCTGACAATATACGAAGAACATTCGAACGACCCAGATAGAGTAGTTCTGTTTTTAAACACCAGAGGGCGAGCATCCGGTGAAAAACGCGAATTCGGCCGAATAGTGATTAAATATTCGGTATTCGGCCGAATAGTGAAAAATAGGCCGAATACCGAATAGTAACCGAATATTCGTTACATCACTAATAATAATCCTAAATGGCGATAAGTGCTTTCATTTACGTGGTACTTAAAAAATTCTCTGAACTAATTGATCACACCTCGTACATCCCTCGCCTTTTTTTATAAACTCTTTCCGCCCTGAGAGGGGCTCATTTAGCAAACCCATTAAGGACGGGGTCCGACATATCCAGATGGGAGTGGTCGGTCTGGATATGTCGGATCCCGTCCTTAATGGGTTTGCTAAATGAGGCCGTCTTAGTGCTTACAGGGCGGAAAGAGTTTTTAAAAAAAATTAATTAAATTCTTAAAGATACTTTATTTAATTCATTTATAATTTAATAAAATTTCTAATTTAAAGACTAGAGGGCGTTTCGAGAGTTACAGGAATTTGGAAAATGGCGGATCGTCAATTTTGAAATCGCGTTTCGTTTAACGTAGAAAACAAATAATAATAAAAATACACATATTTCTTCACTTTTACTAAATGAACGGAATAGGAGTCGATCGCGATTCGTTTTCCTTATTTTTTTGACGTAAACCTCGTAATTTCGAGGGGCTATTACGCGAGTACGCCCTATAACGAGTTATAAAATAAAACAAGTATGGAAGGTAACAACGGTTCCGGAGGAAGGACTGAGGCGGGGACGGACGAGGAATTACTATTAGAGAAATTAAGGAGTCAGTCGTTAACCACGCTGTACAACACGTTGGTGTACGTAAGAACCAAGTACTTGAAACGGGCCGACGGTGCCAAGAGTCTGTGCAAGAAAGGAGGGATTAAATTGATCGTTCAATTAATGGAAAAACCCAAATTATCGGACGTCGCTCTGAGCATTCTCGCCAATTGCTGTTTGGAAGCAGAAGTTAGGAAAGAGGTGAGCCATCCGATTATATGTCTTAGTTCGTGTTGATGCTCTACTACTAAGTTATTGCGGTAGAAACTACTCGCAGGAGTCGGTGATTTGTATATGCGTACAGTACGTATGGTAAGAGTCAAGCTACGAATGAGGGGGCTTTCGACCCCCTCATTCGTAGCCCCGAAATGTAGACCCCCTTGTACGAGCAGAAGAGAGGCCCACCAGTGGCCAAGCAGTCTTCGTACCCTGAACACTGGAGTTTGGTCGTGGGTTTGGGCCTTGCTCGAATGGGCTGGCCACGTGGAGTTTTCCGGGTTTTCTCCGTGTCTGTAATGCCTAAATAGTGGCCAGTTTCCCTTAAAAGATCTCCTGGAAGGCGTCCTCCTAGGCAGATTGCCCAAGTGCTGTATTGCCATATCTTAACAAACAAACAAGCAGAAGAGTCAAAGGAACCATACCTGTACTTGTGATGCTTCGTATGACTGCACCTCCAAAAGTCAGTTTTTAACATGTATTAGTATACTACTTATTCTCTGTGCTCTGTCATCGACGCTTGCTATCGCTCACTATGACTGATGCTCCTGTAGTTGGTCAATTCAGTGTGAGCAATAGCATGCACCTTCGCACCTGCCCACACACCCCCTAAAACTATATAACATTGAGTACTCCATGAACGGTTGAGTGGTCTACTCGAAGCCGGCATAGTCGCGTGAGCTAAGAAGTTAAACACGATAGTATTTAACTTCTTAGCAGAGTGACGTGACTTGCACCCTATTTTTGGGAGCTTTATCTCGCAGAGTTGCTTGAAGGAGCTTTATTTCGCAAAGAGTTGCTTTCACTTTTTTGCAACTATAGGTATGCTCTAGTGCTCTGATAAGGTCACAAATGTCTCATTCGGTGCTTGAATTGAGCCCGTTGATGTTAAAAACGCATAGTCAAACATAAAAACACAGCCGTTAAAAACACACAGTCAAAAATAAAATAAATATTGGTGAAAGTCACCAGTATTTATTTTATTTTATTTTTGGCTGTGTGTTTTTAATTTAATGACAAATTATTATGTTTGGTTTATTGGTGGCGGCATTACTCCGTGTGTAGATGAGTGTGTGTCAAATAATCGTACATTTGATGTAAGATTTGTTTACATAATTAACAAAAAATAGTAAGAATGCAATAGATGTAACAATTTATTGAATGTAATTTTATGGTCTTGGAAAAGATTCGAAATGTCTTTGAAAAGATGGAATTGTGTGATTTTTTTGGAAAGTCAAGAAATGTGACTCCAAGATTGGTATTTAAATGCAAAATGCATCATGAGAGGTTTGCAGTGTGTTTTGCTTGCTCGAGGAATCTGTTTTTATTTTTTAAAATATTTTTGAGAGACACCTCTCATCTTTAGCAAATAGGCTTGCTAATTCCTTTTGGAAAAACGTAACCTCTGAATTCTAATTTTTGAACGTTTCAAATTCTAACATTTTAGGCCCTGTACACACTAGGCGTTTTTCAACGCGCGTTAAACGCTCGTCAAACGCCGAGCTAACGCGCGTTAGCTAGGCGTTTTTCAGCGCGCATTAAACGCTCGTCAAACGCCGAGCTAACGCGCGTTAGCTCGGCGTTTGACGAGCGTTTAGCGGAGCGTGCGCACTGGCTCGGTTTGGAAATGGATGTGGAAGTGATTGCTTGTGTGTGGCTCCTCTATCGTCGCTATAAAAGACGACGGCGGAGGCAAAGAGAATTTTGGGTGCACCCAATATTACGAGATAGACTGACGCATGAAATGTTTGCGACGTTGTATCCAAAACTAAGACAAAATAAATTCAAGTTTTTTAATTCTTTTAAAATATCTATAAAATCCTTTGACGATGGTTGGTCTCTTTTAGATTTCATCAATAAATAGATCAGTATCGAAATGATCGTTCTCCATTTCAGCACATATATCTCAAAGCGCTCGGCTGACGCCCGCAAAACGCGCGATCGCATGTACGGTAACATGGCAGCACATATATCTCAAAGCGCCCGTAAAGCGCTTGCAAAACGTGCGTTTTAACAAAAATCTATAAGCGCTCGCAAAACGCGCGTTTAACGCGCGCTTGGCTTTTGAGTGTGTACGGCTACATAGAACTCTTGGTTCTTTTAAACGCGCGTTGAAAAACGCCTAGTGTGTACAGGGTCTTAAATTTAAAATAATTAACTGTCCACAAAAACTTTTATCAGTGTTGTGTTCGTTACAATATCCACTAACGTTTTTGACCTCCATTGAGGTCTTCAGGTGCTGACTAAGTGTTGTCTCCCCTTAACCGTTAGAATGATGTCATTCAAGTTGTAAATATTGCACATATCACATTTCACCCCTCCGCTTGTCCCCATTCCAATTCCTTGAATAGGCATCTCCATGCCTGCACGATTGTCTCTCCATCTTTAAAGTTGATACAGGTGCCCTTAATGTTGGTTTTATAGATCCTGTGAGATCTATAGAGCCTCCAGGTGATGGATGTGATCAATTTGAAATGCCTGTCTGATTAATTTGGTGTTCGGGAAGTCTGCCCAAATTTCAGGGTTGCTAACATACACCGTCAAGGCGGTGGTGTGCCTATTATTTTTGATGCCCGATTGATGCTCGTGTAACCGTTTTTATGTTGAGTGCACAGTAGAACCGATATAAACTAAGTTTCTTTGTCATCCCTGATGGGAATGGAGTATACCCCTGGGGCTCTGTTGAGATCTATTGTGTCTTTAGCATTGCGCAGCAGGTCGTAAATAGTGCCAGTCCTCCTGTACGCGATCTTTGTGTGATTATGGCTAGCAATCTCCCTGTATAGGGGGTCCAAATATTGATTGAACCAGATGACCGCGTACCTATCGTTCTTAATGGGTGTAGTCAGGGGGTAGCACTGCTGTGTGGGGGAAGACAGTTGGCGCAGGCATGGGACAAACTGCGAATCATGCCCTTACTGTAGCCATATTCGACTGCAATTTTTTCTATGCGGCAGAGCTCTGTCAGGGTGTCGCATTTATTTGTGTGATGCATGAAGGCCAGTCTGGTTAGGGCCCAGAAGGTTGCAATTTTGTAAGCTCATTTCTATCTTGCCACCCCTGAGATGTCAACATCTAGGAAATGTGCTCGCGAGTTACTAAATTGATCCAAGCCAAGGGTGAAGCCATAAGCATTGTCGTTCATGCAAGACAAAAACTTGTCGAGATTTGGTTTGGTTTTCCAAAGTATAAAGATGTCATCCATGTATCTTTGGTATAGACTGATGCACAGTAAGAATTTGGGTAATACCCTCCCTTCCAACTGTCTTACTACCAGCTCACAAAGGTCCCCTGATAGTGGGCTACCCATAGGCACACCCCATCTCTGTAAGTAAGTGGTCTTGTTGAACTGGAAAACTGAGGTGTAGCACATGAGATGTGCCAGCTCTAAAATCTGCTGATGGTGCTGGTGCGCATCATTCTCGTGAAGTAGAAGGTTCCTAAGGGCGCAGAAGCATGGTTGCAGACGTATCGATGGGAAAAGGGAGACATAATCGAAAACCACGAAGTGTGGGTCGTCACCCACATCAACCTGTCGCAGCAAAGCAGCGGAATTGCTGATAGAAAACTTATAACCCTTCGAACGCTCAGCGGCAATATTGTGAACAGCCTTCTCGAGCAGCCTCGTTGGGGACCTAGCCTTATCCAGAACCAGCCTAAGCGAAGGGGTCGGTTTGTGTGTTTTGGCAAACACGAACAACCTGGGAGTGTCGGGGAGGCAATGACCACAGCGCCAAACCCCCATTTCATGGCAAAGGAAGTGCGCGTGAATCTAGAAACCCGCGACTGTAGCTTGTCTATGTAGCCGCATTCGATAGGCTTGCAGTCCATGTCATCAATGTATTGTTGCATGAGAGACCTGTAGGTCACTTCCTTTAATAGAACAAGAGATTTGTTTTTATCTGCTTTGAGGACTATGATGTGCTCCTCCGCCAGCCATTTCCTGGCTTTTCTGTGGACAGTTATTGCTAATACCTATTGGACAGTTATTGGTAATACTATACAGAATTATTTGAATATTTAAAATAATTATTTTAAATATTCAAATAATTCTGTAAACTGTCTTATCTGATAACTCTTAAATTCTAGATACTTATCAATATATTACCACTTAAAACACCATCATACATTAGATCAACATACACCTTTCTAACTGTCACTTTAAATTAAATTGCTCTTCTTCCTCCATCAGCTACAGATGCTCATATTTTATCTATCTTTCCTGATTCCTTTCTTACTTTGTTAGGCCTAATTACTGCTTTCCATATATTCAATAAAGAGTCCACATCATTCTTATTTGCAACCTTATATATAAAGTAAATAAATATCTGTTTTATTGTTCAGATAATGTGATAAATATCCTCTTTGCAAATTAACCTTACTTTATCCGGCATCACATTCACTGACCTCTTACGTCCTTCTTGTGCCAAACCAGTTTTTAATGCTCCTTTACTAACATCATTTCTATATTTTTATCTTTGTCACTAAATTTCTCATAGTAGAACATACATAAAAATCTTTTCTCCTTTCTCCTCCTCTTATTTTTATTATATATACATTTGATTATTTTATGTCATCAAACTGATCTTATTTATTTCTTATTGTATTGAACACAGTATTATTATTTTTTAAAAATAAATCTTCCTTTAAACTGTTTCACACACTTCCTTAACATCTTAAACACATCCATGTCATCAACCATCACATTCAACATTTTTTCTTTATGCTTTCCCCTTCTTATACTCCTTCAATTCTATTTCTAATGTTCTCAACCAATTTACTTAGAATTACTACATTCCTAAACTGCTTTGTTAACCTGTCAATCTGCATTTTTAATTTTGTTTGTTTACTAAAATACCTTAAATCTTTTTAAACAAATTTCTCACAGTCACTAATTTTTGTTTGATACATTGAAAAGAGGGCATTGTGAGAAGGGATTATAGGAATATATAGAAGTGTTAGAGTGAAAGTTGTTGGATATGTATCCCACTATTAAGACTGTTCTATGTTGAATAATCAGAAGAGATATCCTTGTTTGATGGAGATTAATATCCCCAGAAAGCTATGCCTCCTTTCAATCATAAAGAATTTAATAATTGACTTCAAACTGATTTTGCATATGTTTCCAGTACTGGGCCATGTTCAGTAATGCAGAATTTTTGCTAAGTCTACTTATGCTGCAATGTTGAACTTGTTTCTAACTACTGCTTGACTCCTCCCACCACTAAAATTCTAGCTAGTTCAGTTAGCTTCTTTTATCTATGCTACTACTAGCCTCTACTAGTGATGTCATTGTTTTTGTCTCATTGTACAATTTGCAAGATGGCTGCTCGTATTAGACTAAACTTAATTTATTATAACAATCACAAAGTTATTCTCTCATTCTAAATCATTAACTCGTTCTAAAATGCCTTCAAAATGTAAAGTTATCATATGTCGATATAACAGATACGTAATACATTTTAACAGAAGATAACGGTCCATTTTGTTGATTACAATTAATAGTTGCTTCATTAATTTCATCATGATCTGATGCAGTTTCCATTCGAATAAATGTATTGGTTACTACATCCTTTTTGACCAGTTTGTTTGCGACAATTGTTGCTATCATAATTTTAACTTTGTCCACCATTTTGCTCAGTTGTCTAACTAAGAATAATCGTTCAATGATGCTCAGAACATTCTTAGCTTTGCCCACTAAGCCACTTAGAATTCTAACTTAGGTGTTCTGCGTTACTGAACACGGCCCTGCACTCTGTGAGATCAATTTGAATTCACTTATATAATTGAAACTATTGGTTCCAGCTTTATTAATAATTTTATATGTTTTAAATTAATAATTGACAAAAAATAATTATAATAATTAATAAACACTGAATTTAATATTTACTTGTTTTATTTAAACAATGAATTTTGACTGAATTGCTTTAAAAATTAAATATATTTAAAAACATTATTTTTATAGGTATTGAAATGCAATGGAATTACATCATTAAGTAAGTAATATATTATATAATTATGTAAGCTTCAAATTGATTTTAATTTTAGAGTAAAATGAAATATTTAAACAATATGAAAGTTAAATATTACACAGTTATAATTAAAATATTATGGCAGTTTTATTAAATAATCATATATTAATAAAATTTGAATACATTGATAATTTTATTTTTCTTTTAGTGTTTTAATTACAAAATACAGTAAGATCCCGCTTAACACTGCCTCGCTTAATGCTGATTCGATATAACACTGTCTGCTCGAAGCCTTAAGAAAAGCTCAAAATTTATGCTGATTTAAATTATTGCGGAATTTTATTGATTCATACATAATACCATTATTTACGAACACAAACCAATCAAAAAAACGTGGCAAGAAGGTGTACTTTCTTTAAATCTATGTTTGTTTGGTGCAATTTTGGAAAAAAATAATAACATCACAGATGCCATAGGCAATATCGGCTTTGCTTGGCAAAGAATTAACTGATAAAGGCACAAAGTGTGGAAGAAGTTATGGCTGAATGTATCCAAGAATTCTCAATGAGAAGAGCCTATTGCTTTATTGTTAGGTTGATCAAACTCAACCTAATTGATACAGCAGGACTAGGAAATGTAGACGAACAGGATATTGAGGAGTTACCGCAGGTTTCTGGTGAGAGTCATATCGAGAACTGGCAGAACAAGGAATCCATGTAAAACTAGAAAATAGTGATTCTGAAAATGAAGAACCCAAAAAATTTTCTTTACAGATTTTCTTAGTAAAAGTTTGGTAACAATAACCAAAATCATTGATCAAATTGTAGCAAATGATTGAGATTTTGAAAGGAATGCAAAAGCAAAACGAGGCGTTTTGGATGCAATCTACTGCTGCCAACATTTGCTTAAGGAAAGAAAAAAGCAACAAATGAAACTTCATGACTTTATTGCAAAAAACAAGAATTTCAGAAAAGTCAGGACCTTCATCACAAAAAATAAACTATTAAAACTTATAAGACTTATGGAGCAGACAATATAAAATGTAGAGAAACTTTTTCTAAATCATAAAACGATTATATATTCTATTTTGCGATTAAAATTATTTTAGTTTAAGCTCTTTTTAAAATGAGATACGGTATTCAAGTTTGGCTTAATATGAGGAAACATTAACAGGATAATAACTAAAGAAATTACTTAAAAAACAGCTAATATTCATTTCGCAATTTAATTAATTCCTACTTAAAACAATTAATTAATCAGGATGGCAATTCAATAAGTATGTTTCGTTTCTGATATCTGCGAGAATGTTTTTTNTTTTTTGTACAGTATTTAGCTCCTGAAATGGCACAGAACATTGAACAGCTGTTTAATCTTGATGTTGAAAAAATCTAATAAATTATCATTTAATTAAATAATTAAACTTAATTATTATTTAGAATTATTATTTGTGTAGCTTAAAACATTTTGTATACTCTTAATAAATGCACTTTAGAATATTAGTAATTGATTATAATTTTGAGAAATGAGTAGTACAAATTAAAAATTTCTATCTATCAAACTGGAAAAGGAAGAATTGTAAAAACAGTAGATTTAATAGCCTAAATATTTTAATTAAATATAAACTTTACCAGTGGTAGAGTAATAGCTTCAGATTGTTTATTATTATTTAAATATAAATATCAATACAAAAAGTCGTACTTGTTTGAATAAACTTTTGACTAAACTTGTCAAAAATTAACATTTAAACCATTCCATTCAAATGTTAAATTTGAAAAAAAACAAGTGATGTGGAATACATAGTAGAGTAAAAATACACATAATTTTTAATTTGGTTTTATTACACAACAAAAATTCTTACTTCAAACTACCTTCAAAGTTTGCTTCTTATAAACCTAAATTCTTTTGCCATAATCTATATCAGCATTTTTCAATCTTTTCACACCTGTGGATTGACAAAAATAGGAATAACATTTTGCGGACCGGCAGAAGGCTAAAGATAAATTTCTTCCACTTAAACTGCTTAGATGTGGGTGATGTGCACAACTGTTGTAACTTTATTTAAACAATTACAACAAAAAGTAAATAACTGTTTATATTATTGTAATTACAAGTTTAAAATTTTAATATTTTGTTTTTATAAAATTTCCTGCCAGTCTACAAAATTTTTTGTGGACCAGCATCAGTCTGCAGACCCAAGGTTGAAGAACACAGATCTACAATGTATACCACTTGTCAAAGTAGTCCTGGAAGCCATTTTTTTAATGTCTTAAATTGTTTTTGTCACTGTGGCTTCTATTCTGCTGCTTATTGGAATTTGTATCATTTCAATTTGTACTGTTTTAAGGAATACACAGCAGTCTACAAGAAAAAATCAAGCAAGTAAGATGATTGGAAAAGTATTATGTCCTTCTGGTCAGATATTTACCAAGCAGGAATGACCAACAGAAGTCGAGATGGAAGCCATAGTGACTAGAATTCTTAGACATAACAAGAAACATTACAGGACTGTTTTGACAAATGTTTAGACACTGGCAGATGAAGATAAATACGTGTGTTATTAATGTAATAAAAGTTATATTCAAAGTTTAGTTTATTTTTGTCACATAGTTCTCTGTTGATTAGTGACTCCATATTTATATCAAGTGTTTTACAGATGACTTTAGATGTTTATAAAACAGCTATCTGTTTCTGTGGTAAAAAACAACCTTTTAATAACTCTCATTGTATTACAAACAAATCAAAAATATGAAAACAACAAAAAATTAATACAATTCAGCATGATCACTTTGCATTTTAACACACACATCCCAATGTTCAGTGATAACATGATAAACTTGTTTTGAGATACTGGGTGTAATCTTAGCCACTACATCTATGATCTACTTCTTCAGTGGATCACACACAACAACTTTTTGATTAATGCTATTAATCCTAACTTTGTACTGTACATTTGATTTGATAATATCAATTATTTTTATAATTAGTTAGGTCTTAATTCTTTTTATCTCTTTGTCCTTACTTTTTACATTTCTATGTAAATATGGTCTACTTGGACCTTGTTTATTAATAGGACTTATTATACTAAGTTTCTGATTAACAAAGAGAGGAAATCTTAGTCAAAAGTCAAAACAAAATATCTTCATTTTCATATGAAAATAGGGTGAATCTATCTTGGTATATAATTACATTCCTTGTAAAATAATTGGGAAAATATCATGATTTCACAGACTTATTAAATAAGTATGTCCACAGGTTTTTGCAATTACAAATATGATTTACCTCAGAATAATACAATTAAAATAGTCAGTGTCATATGAAGACTTTCCCATATTTAAGATAACATCAGTTACTTCATTTCCATTAATATCAGTAAACAAAAATGAATTTTTGAGGTATAGTATTTACTTTCATAATTACCATGTGAAATACTTTCCTTACAATAAGTTGGATAAAATCCTTCATTCAATGCATAATAATTATACAGGAGTTCTTCATAGTTTGACAATTAGCTTTCGATGAAACTTGCGGACCTAGCTGACCCAACATTAGTAAATTTATTAATTTCAAAACAGGTAGTTTTTAACACACTCTCTAAAATTCTTTGATGTGTAAGACTTCAAAAAAATGGAATTACAATAATTATATTCATTTTTAAAATCAATTTTTTTTATTTTACTTACTCTGTCACATCCAACCTTTAATAGCAGTTAAAATATTAATGTTTTTGATCAGTTTTAATGTTCTTTATCAGGTTGATGTTCCAAAAATTGAACATTTACATATACTAACAGACATATCTAAAAAAATGATGAAAAAAATAATAACAAAATGCATTTCCCTTTACATTGTATAAACTTCAAAAAAGGATTACCAAGTTCTTGATATTGTGTTTAGGTCCTTGTAGTTGATAGAATTTCCGTTATGCATTGATTTATAGATTTTGAGGTTCTCGATGTAACTAAGGAGGTGTTTGTTTCTGATATGCTTGGTGACTTTGGCTTCATTCCACTGAACCTTGACCAAATTGTCCAGCTAGGATTATGGAAGGGAGTGACTTAACATTATATTTATATTCCTTTTATCATGAAATTAAGAATCACATGGTGGCTCCTATGTATACCAAGTCACCTGTTACCCTGTCATCCATGATGGATACTGCATAGACATCTGAAACTCTGAATATGTCTTATAGGTCTTTGTTATTCTGAAGGAGTTTGTAAACTGTATGATTCCTCTTGTACAGTATTCTCCTGCCTAAGGGCAGCACATTACTAAGGGACTTGATCACTTTTTAGTTCACTTTGATAGTGTTACATCTGTGGTGTTCCAGAAGTTGTCAATGAGTGTTTATATGATGATAACCAAGAGCTGGTTTTAAGGTTGCTTAGCTCTCCCTATCTGTTGACAGCATCCGAACAGAGGATTTTCTTCTCATCAAGACTTTGAAAGTGGCTAACTTGTAGTGTAGGTGATCCATGGAATAAATAGAGGGTTGTATAAGAGTTTCTGAAAAACTTTAGTCTTTGTTCCAGCAGCCTTAAGTATGATAAGAATATCCAAAAAGTGATATAAACATCCATTAATCTGATTTTTTATTAAGGCCAAATGATCTGCTGGATTATATCAGCCTATAATATGGCTACTATATACTAATTAAATACTAAGTAATTTTGTCTAGAGGTAGACATTAAGTGCCATCTCTTGATAAATTTAATACTTATAAATAAATTAATATTTAATTTTTAATTTAGAAAGTTCTGGGATAAAAGAATTGGTCTGGATTGTGACTCAAACCTGCATCTCCTGCATACTGTGTGGATGTGTTGCCAGTTATGCTACCTGGACCTCCATCTAATCTTTGCCTCTAGAACTATTAATAATATATTGTGCTGACTGGGAATGTCACTGACATGTCAAGTGTCCACTTAATAGGCCCTCCTTGGCATTCAGCTAGCTATTGCATTATCCCAACATGATGTATATATACAAATATAAACATCTGTTAATCTGATTTTTTTATTAAGACCAAATGATTGCTGGTTTTTGTCCGGTTATAAAATGGCTACTATTTAATAAATAAATACTATTTAAATTTATCAAGAAATGGCACCTAACACCTACCTCTAGGCAAAAATATTTAATATTTAATAATTGAATAGTAGCCATATTATAGCCAGATATAATCTAGCAGATTATTTGACCTTATCAAAAAAATGGGCCTCAGTCATTCTCATGCTCTAGGTTGAGTTTTAGCCTATAAAGATTGTTATTGACATCAACCAAGAATTCCTGTATGTCAGCTGTTTGTTCCATAAGTACATCATCTGTATATCTGGAAAAAATGTGGATTTGTGTGCTGTATTTCAGCAGGATAGAGTTCTCCTCTCCCTTGCAAGTACACAATTTCATCAAACTGGAAGAATGAAGAGTATATTGCCATGTTTGCCAGTTCTAAAACTTGGTCTATGAAGGTAGGAGAGAGGCTAACATGTTCAAAAAGGAATCCTTAAGATGGCAGAAGCAGGGTTCCAGGCGGATAGAGGGATATAACACTTCAAAGTTGAAGCCAATTACATATTCATCATTTTATCATTGCGAGATGCTGTAACTGTAACATCTCATAAAAACTCACAGGTTCTATAATATTGTACTGATGTGGAGGTAGGTGGTTGCAAATAAATTTCTGTAGTATTCTTTTGATATATGGTGAGTGTATATTTGGTTAAATATTTTTTTAATGTTTTATCATTTAGCAATAAAAATTTATAATTGCATAATTTCAAACATTTGATCAAAACCAAAGACAGGAGTAAATCTGGATTTTTAAATTTTACATTTTAAGTTACGAAATTACTAATAAATTTTAAACCATTATTCATATATAAATGCTTCTCCCTATATATTCTTGATTACATAAAAATGGTTTGTGATTTACTTTAAAATTGTTCAATTACATTAAATCAAAATAATTGTATACATGTACTTTTTTATAATTTTAATAAAATATAAATTAGTTTTGTTGCCATTACAGAAGTTTAATAAGTTAGAGAAACTTTTTATTGCAAAAAAAGGATTTCAGTTTTCTGTATTTACATTTAATATAAAATATAAATTTTAGTTCGCATTCTTCGATGTCTTGCTTCGGAAACCGTACAGAATCGTGCCTGTAGAGCATTGTCTAATCTCGCTATTGATAGTGATTGTGCGAGATGTATCCATAAATTAAAAGCAATTCCTATTATCATTAAATTTTTACAGTCAACAAAAGATGTAGAATGTCAACTTACGGCCGTTCGGGCATTGAGGTTAGTAGTTTTATGTAATTATATTTAAATTGTTTAAAATTGTGAATTTTGTATTTTAATAGACTTAATCTATAATTATAAAATTATCATATTTTTCAGTTTTCTTTTAATTTCTAAAAAAAATCAAATCTATGAAAGTTTGTTTCTAATAATTCAAAATTCTAGAAATATCTTTTAAAAAGTAATGTATCTGTTTCATCACTTTATGACTGATTTCCCTTTTTATATATTTCATTCTAAATTTTTATATATAATAAATAAGTAAATAAATAAATTTATATATATATCCCATTACTGGTTTGAATTTTTCGAACAATCCAGCAGATTTATAAAATTTTGTAAATTTTAATTAACAAAGAGTAAAAACTTTAACTTTTTATGATATAATACGAGGAAGAAGCATAGAAAGTAACAGGAAACTATTCTGCTTTATTGCTAACGTAACAACCTTCCTAGTAAGATGAACACAATTAGAAATAGAGAGAACAGCATTGGGGTTGCAACAATTTCCAACTTCAACACCTTGCCTAGTAAAGGGAAGAAGGGGGGCTCCCTAGATCATCAGCCTGCAAAACCCCCCACAGAGACTCTTGAGAATTGGAATGTGAAGACTTTAAGGAGACAAATGAGCAAGACCCCAAATTTTTTATTTTTTATTATTATTTTTTTATATATATTTTTCAACATTAACTTACTCACTAACTAAACTAACCTACCATAACTTAGGACAAATCTAACCTACTAACCTGACTAAAGCTAACAAACCCTAATCTAATTTAACCTAACCTATCATAACCTAACCGGAAACCAAGCTAAGAGTCCCTAATCTAACTTACAACTAGGACTAACCAAATTTAGACTGAAAAAAGACAGAAAATAAGAATTAAAATACAAAGTTAAAAGACAGCTATATAATGACAGTTGAAACAAAGCAGGGAAAGCTAATTGCCATCTGTGCCCCTGGAGTGAGTGCTCTCAAGAGCCCTACTAAGGGATATGAATATGAGTAGATGATGGAACATTGTACGTGTAAATGAGTTGGTGCAGGTTGCAAGGCCAGTTGTACCCTTTAAGAATAACAGCTCTCATTAAGCTATCCCTAATGTGATTGTACTGTACCTATTGCAGAAAAAACAAAGTGAAATGGTGTTTGGTCCTCCTGAATACCACAATCGCATTGTGGATTGTGAATTTTTTTAATAATAAAATCACATTAAAAAAATTATGACAAAATGAAAAGTTTAAAAAGTAAGATAATAATTTCATTTTTTAGAATATTGGGAAATACACCAGAACATCGAATAGAAATTGTGCAGCATGAAGGTATAATTCCAATAGTTGAATTATTAAGTTCAGAAAATAATAATTTAAAGAAGAATAGCACAAGAGCAATTGCTTGGCTGACACAAAATTGTAGTGCTGAATGTGCTCAACAAGTAAGTAAAAGTTTAAAAATTTTTTTAAATTTTTAATTAAAGAAAATAAATATACAAACTATTTTCACTTGAATTCTTAAGCAAAACACATCTGGCAACATTTGGTTTTGTGTCTGGAATAAAATCAATAAAAAATTTTTAGAATGAACAAGCATATCTATTCTGGACAACAATGAATGGACCAGAGTAGATATGCTTGGTTAGGTCAACTGCTAGAGACAGCAATCAATGGTAACAACCACAGATGTTGATGATTACAGTTGTATAAAAACAATGGTTGGTGACTTATGGTCAGTAAAAAGACAATTTATTATATGGTTTGGTACATTAGTAGATTTGTCCATAATATAGAGTTCTTTTAATTAAAAAAATAGTAATAATAAAATAAAATCAAAAATGTCAAACATAATTTGAAAATTTGTATTTTATTTATAGGTGAAAATCTCATTCTTTGTTAGATTTATTTGAAACTAGCAGACCCGGCCATGTGTTGCTGTGGCTTAAAATGTATCTATTAAAAATGTATAACACTTCCTCTGCGGGGGAAATTTCGAAAAATCCCTTCTCAGTGTACATTCTTTTGATGTATTCTATTAAAACACAATTAAAAACGCAAAAAAAAAAAACATATCTAAGGTAGTATAATAGAAGCCGAGTTCTTCACGGTAAGCCTTAATCCTGTCCTCTTCCCCATGTGGGGAATTTCGACATCTAAATTATATAAAAGCATGCACAAATTCAAATGCAATGTTGTGTCAAAATTTCAAAGCAATCCGTGAAGAACTTTCAGAGATTTTGAACAAATGAACATTACATTTCTATTTATATAGATTAATTCCTCTTTAAACATCAAATTACCTTTAAAAATATTACCTTTAAAATTAATTCTAATATTTTTCTGATTAAAATGTATGCAGTAGTATCCCCGCTCTTACCATGTAGTTAGTTGGATCATGAGAAAATGTCATTAAGAGAGTGCATCTCCCATAAGTTTAATGTATCGAACCAAAGTTTTGTTCTCAGAAATGTCTCTTGAACTATACGGCAATAGTCAACAAAAAAACAAAAAAATATGGAATTGTAAATAAGATTTAATTAATTTTTAAACTTTTATAGCTAAATATTTCATAATTTTCCAGGCAAAAAATATTTGTTTAAGAAAAACTAAGACACACTAGTATGAAGTTAAAATTGTGTGTGCCATCTGTTATGAGATTTCATTAAAAAATAACTTTTTTTATTATTAATTCTGGCGGGGAGGGAATTTCAACGTATATATTATATAAAAACATGCCCGTATTCAAATGGAACGTTGTATGAAAATTTCAAAGCAATTCAAAGCAATTCAAAGCAAATTCTAATCAGTGAAGAACTTGCGGAGATTAGCTATTAAAAACAAACGGACATTACATTATTATTTATATAGATAGAATCAAACATAATTTGAAAATTTGTATTTTATTTATATTATTGTGTGTTTAATGATATCTTTATTTTTTATGTTTGCTTGAAGTTATCTAAGTTTTAGTAAGTCAAATAAATTGACTCATTTTGTAATTCATAGGTTATAGATTAGAACTGTTTTAAAAATATGTTGTTTAGAAAAAATGGCATATTTGAAATAATGGAATTTTTCAGAATTTACAGTATTGCAATAACAAATATTGCCAGATGAGTGCATTAAAATTTTTAACTTCCTAATTGAAAATTCTTTGTTTTCAGCTAAGTATGTTGCATTTATATTTAAATTTAAAAATTGTATGAAACCATTGACCAAAATTATAAATAATATCAGGTAACCAAAAAAGTTCTTTTGTTTTTTGTTGAAAGAAAACAAACAAAAATGAATAGGAAATAACACAATTTATTCATCAAAATAACCACCCTCACTTTCAATAATCTTTTCCCAACGAGAAACAAGCTTATAAATTCCATTTTTATAAAAGTCACGATCTTTAGAGTTGAAAAACTTTTCTAACTCCATTTCCATAGCCTCTCTATTTCTGAACTGTTGATTTTGCAGATGATTATCTAGGCTTAAAAACAGGTGATAGTCAGAAGGGCTAATGTCAGCAGATTAAGGAGGGTGCAAAAGACGTTCCCATCCAAGGGTCTGAATTGTGTCAGAGGTCACACGCGCAACATGAGGCCTATAGCATTATCGTGTAAAAAAAGAATGCTTTTACGGTTCATTAAAGCTGGCTGTTTTTTCAAAAGTGATTGGTGAACTTGACAGAGTTGGTCACTGTAGACATTAGCAGTAATAGTTTGGCCAGATGGTATAAGTTCATAGTGAACAATTCCATTTGCAGTCCACCATATGCACAATATTGGCAGGTGTCAATTGATGTATCCATTTGCTGAGCTTGTAAACTTTCCCAAGTACTATGCAAATGTACAGTTTCATCACTTACGGAGAACCTTTGTGCTAACATCTGACAAGTTTGAGTGGAATCTTCTTTGATTGCAGCCTGTAATTCATCATCATTAATGACATATGGCTGCCCTTCTCATCTTTAAGCGACTCATCGCCGGAAGAAAATTTTCTAAACCACCTTTGGGTGGTGCGAGTGCTGACAGAACCTTGTCTGAAAGCCTGGCATATTTTTTGAGCCATTTGCACAGCATTTGTTCCAAGTTTAACCCGGCATGAATGATGTGAGAAATTGTTACACCAGCTATGAGGTGGGTAGGAGATACCCGAAACTTTGATGCCGAATTTTTTATATTATAATTGTGTATAAAGTATTTTTTCACTTGGGATAATAAGAATAGTATCTATTCAACAAGATGAGTAAATAAAATATTATGTTTAAGATTGAAAAGCATTTTTTTTTTAATTGAAATAACAAAGTGTCTATATTTTCTTTGAAAAAGTACAAGTTTTGGTAGTTTAACATTTTTTCGTATAAAATTCTAACAAAATTACTACTTCTTTGGTTAATCAACATAACTATAGTATCTTTCAATTATAAAAATAGAAAAAAAAACTAAAAGGTCTTATGAGATCAATTTGTACAGCACCAACATTACACCTACAAATCAGCACAATCTTCACACATAAAAATCGCATGCTTCATACATTTTGGCTTCTTGCACTTCGAACAGCAATGTTTTGTTTTCCTATCTGTTTTTTAGTACACTCACCACACCTGACATATTTATTAGCCATTTTTTTGGAAACAGGTAATGAAGGTTCTCCCAGTTGATCAGTAATCACTTTTCGAGTTTTCCTTGGAAGATGTATGTTTTTTTATCTAATGCGAAGACTATCATTTGAGAAATCTAGAAATAAATCTAAAAATACTATAAATAACTATAACTCATAAACTTACTGTCAACTCAAAAATGTAACACCGATTATGAGGTCGGGTGTGACGTACCCCAGCCACCTTTGCTTATGTGTATTTCCCACTGACACCGGCAGAACACTAAACTCAACACTGTGCCTAGCCCCCCACTCCCTTACCTCCAGCTACTGTGACAACGGGATTTGCATGGCAACAATAACATTAAATAATCTGCATTTAAAATCTTCTCGGGTATGACATACCTGACCTCACTCACGCTGGGTTAAACTCACACAACATATAAGCACAAATTATAGAGTTTTTTGTACTCATCTTCAGGTCAATTTTTATAATATTAAGAGATAACCTTTCTGCTTTTTTTTATATAAGATGAGTCAGCATTAAATCTTGATTAACATATTGCTGGAATTTTAGTGCCATCTATTGTGTATTGTGTGTAACATTCTTTAAACTTTGTAGTTTCACAAAAAACGTCAGAAGTTTTTTGGTTACCTAATAATTTTTTATGTTATGTTAGAATAATACAAAAAATATATAATATATTTATTTTGGAAAAAAAATGAACAAAATTCATAATAAATGAAAATTTGCACAATTTAGGATGCAAAAAATTCAAAAATGTTACTTTAAAAAGAAAAAAGTTTAATAAAATAAGAAAAAAATGTATCAACTGACTAATTAATTCAATCTAAAAAGTTTTGAAAATGTATTAATGTTACAAACTTAAGAAATTTATTTTAAAATTTTCCAGAGGAGACAATACATAAAAGTGTCGTCTTGTCCTTATCACACCTCAGGAAATAGTCTTTTATGTATTGTCTTATTTGAAAAACTTTTTAAAGAAATTTTCAGAGTTTGTACTTAATGTTATGGCCATTTTATCAAATGTATTACTGTTTTTTTTTTTCTGATGTTATCTTTGTTGCCTTTTGATCTTAATGTTTGCCTTTTGATCTTAATCTTTGATCAAAAGGAAAGTCCCTTTCAAACAAATAATGTTTGAAGGGACTTTCCTACTTTCCTATTTCATTCTTTTTTAAAAATGAAAAACAATGAAATAGAAACTTTTTACTGAAAATATATTCATTATTTATTTAGTCTTTATATAATTTCTTGAAATAACAAAAATTTCAAAAAGTGGCATTATCCAATTTATAAAATATCATTCTTGTGGAATTTTACTGTAATTCTTAAAATAATATTTAATTATATTTAATTTATTTTAACAAAGGTTCAAGGAGGTCAGGGACTCGACGAACTAATTACATTAAGTAATCATTCTGATAATGATGTATCTGAATATGCTTTAACATCTTTAATCAATCTTACTACTCAAGCTGCAATTAGACCTAGTCTAGGTAGCAGTGGTGTAATACCTGTTTTCATTAAAAATATTGAAAACAATCAAAACAGAAAACCAGGTAACATTAATATTTTATTTTTTTATATCTAAGAATATCATTGAAATAACTTACCAATTTTCAATGTTTTTATTATATATGCTTTTATTTAATGTATAAAGAAGAAAATTAGTCAGTTTGTTATTTATATATTTTGACACAGTTTGAGCAAATACAATAAAACTTTTTACCATCTTGTCTGGGAGGAGGTCAATGGCTACTTCTGGTTGAATTAACTTCACCCTTCTGCCCTCAATGTGACCTTCTTTCTATCTGACTGGTGGAATGGTGGCATTCAAATAGGAAAATTACATAATGTGTCTTGATACCTCATGCCAAATATCACATAAAAGAAAGTAAGAACAATACTGAGTGTGGTGTTAACAATCTTTTATTTTCGCAAGTGCTTTCAGCAAACTTCTGTTTGTCATCTTCAGACAAACAAAATTTAAAATGTAGAACACAATATTTTAACTTAAATAAATAGCACTTAAATCAAAATTAAACTTTGTTATGTGTGTGTTCAAAGTTTGATTACGCAAGATGTCATGAAGCATCATGCAGTGCATGCATACACCCACATCAAAGGTGTGATGGCAGACACATATCACTATATGAAAGTGCCAGCAAAAATAAAAAAAACTGTTAACACCACACTCAGTGTTGTTCTTACTTTCTTTTAGGAAAATTACTTATTTTGCAGTCTTTGGTAACTTTGTATTATGTTTTTAGGATTTTTGAGGGTGCCATTTATAAATATTTGGTCCATTTCTTGCAAAATTTGGTTGGCTGACCAATTATCATTTCATAATTGGCTGTGAATGGTACATTGCAGTTAAAATTAGAAAAAATTAGAATTCCTTAAATTATCTTCTTGTGCATGCAGAACTAATTTTTTGTTGAAAAACATCAGTTCCTGTCTATGACCAATGAAATTTCATCATTCTGTACACATTCTTAGCAGGCACAAAATATTACTTGGACATTTTAGGATGCAGAGCATGAATCTTTGGTCTGTTTGCCTCAAAATCTGATTGTTCATTACTTTTTATTTTTGTTATATGAATTTAAGTAAGACTGATTTTTTTCCCTTCTTCAAAGTAGATTTTTTTGATAACTCACAAACTTTAAAACCTTAAAATTTCAGTAAATAACTTTAATAGACAAATGCAGTGGTACCGCGGTATACGTCTGCTTTAGAATACGTCCAATTCGGAATATGTCCTGTTTGGACGAAACAAATTTTGCTCGGTATATGACTTTTGTTTGGTATACGACTTAATTCAATTATATGCGCCATCTATGAACAAGTAGCACTATTGGTGTACTAAACCAGACTAGACGTTCGCGGTGCCACAGTTTATAACTTTATTAAATTTTTTCTGATTTTAAATTTTAAGTAAAATTTTATTATTGCAAAATGGCAAATGAAAAGCAACAGAAAACTAAAAAAAATGACTAGGATCACAATGGAATTGATAAAAGAAATTGTTGAGAAATATGAAGGTGGCATGCATGTTCAAGATTTTAACTGTTGCATACCATATTCCGAGAACGATGATATTGACAATCGTAAAAAATAAAGACATTATTAAATCTGCTAACATTGCGAACGGGGTTAAATCAATTTCTAAACAGAGATCGAAGACATTAGATCATGTTGAAAAATTGCTTTTGCTTGGGATAACTGAAAAACAGTGTGCTGGAGACAGCGTATCAGAAGCAATTATTTGCAAGAAAGCTAAAAAGATACATGCTGATCTCATGAAAAATCAGTCAGGAACTAGCCAGGAAAGTGAGGTGTTTAAAGCCAGCCATTTTTTTCTTGATAACGGATTAATCATTTTTACATTACAGTAGAACCTCGAAAACTCGTCCCTCGATAACTTAGCACTCCGGATAACTGGTCCACACCTTGGCAGGGCGAAAAAATCCTTAGTTAATTAATTTTCATTATAGACAGCTTTATAAAAGTATAAAAGCTCTCATAAAGTATTTTTCTGAGGTCTGTCTTATCAGGTAAATTACTGTACACAGTGTATTCATTAATTTTCATTTTCATGTAGTAAAGGCTCTATGCCTTCATAAAGGACGTACTTTTCCTTTGTTTAAGGGTATTTGGGCAGTTTATTCTCTGTTATATTCTCAAGTAAACAATACATACAAGTACAGTACAGTATTTTCTGAGGAAATACTCGTACTTATTTTTTTTAACCCCATTCCCGATAACTCGGCATTTTCACAAACTCGGCCACCCTTCGGTCCACATTACGTCGAGTTTTCAAGGTTCTACTGTACTTCTTATGGAAAAGGTTGGTTTGGTATACATCCTATTCGGTATAAGTCCAAACATCAGGAATGGATTAAGGTCGTATACCAAGGTTCCACTGTATTTTTGATTTTTTATTCAGACTTGTAATATGTCATTGTTTGTTTTTACATTCCAAAATTGGAATATAACAACAATGACATATTACAAAATGGAGAGGAAAAATTTACAAATATACAATTCTCTCAATATTTTACAACTAAAGCATTCATTTAATGTACAAGACAATTATTTTAACATCAATATCTAACAACAGTCTGTTTAGCAGTAATGTTACATAAAGGTTGAGTGTGGATAATACAATGACATGTTACCAAATGGAAAGAATTTTCACAAATAATTACAAATAAAATTTTTTGTAGTGTGATGAATTTAAAAAATTTTTTATTGTATAAAATTGTGCACAATCACTTTTGTTAAATAATGGTTGTCGATTATTGGTATTACTTTATATCATAGTTGATAACATGTCATCATTAAAGGCCTACCAGGTGTACTATTTGTTCGTTTCTTCCTTGAAGTTAATACAAACACATTTTGTTTCAGATTTGAACATCTCAAATGCTTCATGTGCTCTAATATGCTGTATTTGCTGCACTTTCCTAATGAGGTTGGCATTTTTGATATTAGCATGTACTGTACATCATTCTCTGAAGCATATATGGCAAGGGCTATGGTGTGTTTCTTGTTAATCTCATAATTGTTCTGCTACTATCTTACAGAAGGATCATTTTGTTGATCGTATGTACTCAAGATCTTTAAGGAATCTGTCATCTCTTACTTTGTTGACTGCATCCTTTCCATTGTGAAGTAGTTTGTAAACCATGGGATTATGCAGTATACTAAACTGGCCTCTCATTTTGCAGCTAATGCCTTGTATAACATGTTCATATTTTGGTCTTAATCAATTAAGAAACATTTTGAGTTATTGGTGTGCATTAGTTTCTCTTTAACTAGCATATACATTAGATTTTTGTCATTTTTATTTTGTTGTGTTACATTTTCTTTTTTCTTATTATAATGTATTTAACACCTGATAAACATGGCAATTGTAGGTTAAAATAATCACTCTTAATATAGCTTTCATTTTAATGTTGTTACTTTTTGCCCAGGTAATGGCAGCAGATCTGTTAATATAATATAAACATACATAAGTATCAATATAAGTAACTAATTGAAAAATACTTGAACTTTTATATATGCAAAATAAATGGGAGGGAGAAATGCTTTACAGAGCATTTAGATCTTATTAATATAGCATGTTACAGTTGATAGACAAGCATGTCTGTCTATCAGTTATAAGATACTAAAGAAGATGGAATAACTTTTGCTCTTTAATTTTAATTTTGTTTTCATTTTATTAATAGTTTGTCTTGTTTTAAATCCATAATTTTGAGTTTTGTTAATTTCTGTTTAATTTGAAGGGGATGTATTGAAATAGTTTAATTCTTGATTGCTTTCTATGTTTATTGGGGAAAAAGCACAAAATTGCTCCGTCAAACTTATATAAGAACACACACAATATGTTAGAATTTAGGAGAAGAGAATAGACTTTATTATTTAATTAATATACAAGGGTCATCCAGAAAGTAACAACCTATTGTGCATTCCGTTTGCAGTTTGATCTCGGTCTATTTTCCAACGTCAAATAGTTTCCTTGATGTCTTTTCTCAGTGTTTTGTGAGTGCTAGTCGAAACAAGTTGTTATTGTGCATCTCTGTGGTTGTCAACAATGAACAGTGTGATACAAAGTCCCGCAGACTGTGAGGTCAGAGGCATTATTCAATTTTTGAATGCTCGGAAGTTGAAACCTACAGAAATTTACTGTCAACTAAAGGAAGTGTATGGTGATACAGTAATGAATGAAAGAAATGTGAGAAAGTGGTGTGAAATGTTTAACAATGGATGAACAAATGTTCATGACGAAACTTGATCCGGACATCTGTCACTCATCACAGATGATTTGAAGAATCAAGTGAAGAACAAAATCGTGTAAGACAGACGCGTAACCTTGGACGAGTTACACATTTATTTCCCTAACATTTCTCATTCTTTGCTTGGTGAAATTGTCTCTGAACATCTTGGCTATAGCAAAATTTGTGCATGATGGGTTCCTCGGTAACTGAGTGACCAGCACAGAACAAAAAGAATGGGTGCAGCACTGACATTTTTGATGCAGTATCATGCAGATGGAAATGCCTTTCTTGATCAAATTGTTACTGGCAATGAGACATGGGTGTCTCATTTCACCCCGGAGACCAAGCGCCAATCACTTGAGTGGCATCATCCCTCATCACCCAAAAAACTGTGAAAATTCAAACAAACTCTGTCAGCACAAAAACTCATGGCGATGGTGTTTTGGGATCATAAGGGTGTTCTCTTGGAGGATTTCATGCCAAAAAGCATTATGATCAATGCACATCAATATTGTGACACCCTAAAATGTCCAAAATCATAGGAATGGAATGCTTTCTTGTGGTATTGTGCTTCTTCCTGCCCTCACACTGCTGCTGCAACCATAGCCTTGCTGGATCGATTTGGATGGGAAATTTTTGATCATTCACCCTACAGTCTGGACTTTGCTCCTTGTGATTTTAGCCTTTTCACAAAGCTCAAAGAGTTTCTGGGTGGGAAATGTTTTGGAAGTGATGACGAAGTGAAGAATGCAGTAAACAACTAGCTTAATGGACTGGCAGTAGCCTACTATGACATGGGAATTCTAAAGCTCGTGGACAAATATGACAAATGCTTAAATAATGATGTGATTATGTAGAGAAATAAAGTAAGCTTCAATTTTGTATGTGACACGTTTTTGTTAATAAAATATATTTCTTTCATTTATTAAAACCAAATGGTTGTTACTTTCTGGATGACCCTTGTACATTATTTCTATACAGAATAGTGGAAATGCATTTCAGGCTATTATTCGAACTTACCATATAGAAACTTGCAACTTTATTATTTAACTGACTTAGATAGAATAAACTTTTATTATATTTCTGAACAAAATGGTGGAAATACATTTCCATAACTTTGTACAGAAATAATGTGTGTTAAATAATAAAGTCTTTTCCACATGTGTGTTCCTGTATGATAAGTTTGACACAGCAATTTTGTGCTTTTTTCCTAGTGATGTAGTTTCTTTACGTTTTATTTATTTATTTATTTATTTATTTTTTGGATTTATTCTTATGCTTCCATAGTAACAGAACTGCATTCTGACAGTGTACACTTAATGTTTGAAAGTACTAGAAGAACTTATTTTAGTAACTATGCTCTGTTTTATAATAGAAATATGAATTATGAAAAAATCTTCATTAAACCAATAAATTTAACTATCTAATATTAATTTGTGTAATGGGATATTTAATATTCATATTCATTGTATCTTTTTTTATGCTTTACCAAAAAATTCTGACTCAAAAAGTAAAATTTTAAAGTGCAACATTGAAATTTTGAACAAATTTTGAGAAAGTAATTTTACTTTCAAATACTGTAATATCAAAATTTTACAAATATTTGTAGTTTTACAGTTTAAGAATCTAATAACTATATTTTTATTTTTATTTTTTTGAATTGGGAAAGATACTTTGAGAAACTACGTTTTAATGATATTCCTCAAGCTCAGTAATGGGTTAAAAATAAGTAAATTTATAAGTGACATTGAAATACAAATTAAAACATTACTTAATCAGTTAGTGAAATAAATAAGATAGAATATTGTAATAATTAGTTGCTTTATTAAGATATAATACAGGGTGGGAAAATAAGTTACTTAACACCTCTGCTACAGAATATAGAATGTACCCAAAGTTAATTCACTCATGTCAGGAACACATTAGACCAAGGGGGAAACAGATTGATATGTGTTACACGACAGCTGTCATCTTGAATGCAATTCCAAAACTGTAAATGGGAAGGAATGGCAAAACTGTAAATACGACATTATGACATATGAATGAATTAACTAGGTACTGGTACATTCTATATTCTGTAGCAAGAGTGTTAATAAGTTGATGATAATATTATGATGAGAAAAAGTATATCATTAATAAATAAGATATAAGTTGAATATTGTTGATAAAAAAATCAAGCATGTAAATTTTTTAGTAGTATTTGTAGTAATTATTAAAGAGATTCTAATTTTTTTTTTTGAATAAATGATATTTAGTTAACACATTAATATGGAATAAATGAAAGTCTTAAATTTTATATGATAATAAAATAACATTTAGGTAATGGTATATAATTTCAGATATAAAGTTAAATTAAGTAAATTTGATAATTTTTTTTAATAGGAGTAACTGAATTAGTTACAGCCCTTTGTTTATGCTGTCGAGATGCAGTAAATAGAGTTAGAATAAGAGAAAGTAATGGTTTGAAAACTCTGCTGAATTTATTGAACAGTGCGGAGCGAGAATATCTCCACGAACGTATTATTATTTCTCTTCTGGCATTCCGGTTCGACGAACCTAGTTTAAATGTACTTCTCGATAATGGATTTATCAATTCCTTAGTCAAACATCTCAATAAATATGTAATTGAAAATAAAAAGTATCACATCCTAGTGCCGACAAAAAGTGATAGTTTGTGCAGTTCAAAAAATAAATTGGACGAGGAAAAGTTTGACGAACAATACATAAGTTCTTCAATGATAAACGAAGACAAAATAAGCCAATATAACAACGAAGAAATAGCATGTAAAGAAGTTTTACAAAATGATTCGGAAACTGTAAATTTATGTGAAAACGTTTCAAGAGCACCCGAGATAACCGAAGAATGTGACAGTGATTTTGATAACGAAGTAGCCGATGCTACTGCAAATATGCAAAAAGAAAATAATTCTACCAAAGTTTTTTGTATAAATAGTCCAAGTTATCAAGAAATTCAGAACGAACAGTACGAAGTAACTTTTGGTTCGGAATGTGCTTTCGATAATCAATTATCGGATATTTGCAGTCCTTGCAGTACCGGAAGCTGTTTTTCTCCGGATCGTTATTCTGTCGACTGGAGTCTTCCTTCTCCTCCTCCTTCCTACGGAGTCTGGTCACCGGCCGTTTCATCTAGAGACGATTTTCAGTGGTCGCCCAATTCATTTCTTTCGTCTCCGAAAAGAAATACAGACTTTATTTCTATTTCGTCACCCTCTTCTCCAAGTTCGTCGTCGTCTACTTCACAGTCGCCACAAACGGTGCAGCTTTTGAGGTATTCCCCAGTTTGCGAAGAACACATATCGGAAGAAGAAAACGAAAATTGTACAGAAACGTTTGCTTCTACAAAAAATCAAATCACCGAATCAAATCTAAACGTCGATCGTACCCAAGTAACTAACTTAACTACAAATAAAACAGAATCGAAACAAAAGTCTACCGTTCGTACCCAATCCGAAAAGAGAGACGTAAGTCAACTTTATCCCAATAATTCTAATGAAGAATTTATTCAACCGACGTTAAAATTATGCGAGAACACGAAGAGGAGGAGAATATCTGCCGCTAGTGACATTTCCGGACATTCTAGTTCTCATAAAGAAGACAGGCAAAATTATAATGTTGGGGATTATATTTTAATGCATTTGTCCCATTTTTCTCAAATGGAAAAACCAACGTATAAAATTGTTACAGAAGAGTGCATTCAAGCATTATTAGATTACGCCTGTTACGTATCTACCACGGCTCGAGCCGAAAGAATTCTTTCGCGTCTGACGTCCAATTTTTATTGCTTCGAGCACTTGATTAATTTCGGAACGACATTGTTGATTCGCAATAAATTAACCATTCACGATTCGAGTATTTGCGACAAATGCAACCATCTAAAATTGCTTCAAAGTAAGCTATTGAAAAATCTCAGTTTTGTGGCCGAATCCGGATACGGAATGGGCGTGTTGTGTCACATTCTTTTAACCGGATTGGATTCCGAACAGTCGTCTTGCATCCTTGCAATTCCGTATTTAATAAGGTATGTTATTTAAAACTTTAATTTATCCATATAGAAATTTATTATTCTCTAATACGTATAGTGTTTTTCGATTTAAGTTATCTTTTTTATTGTCGAAGGAAGATATTAGTTTAGGAAAGTCCTTTTGAATAAAACGACGACGATGATTTCTACATACTTACAGAATTTTAACTAAATTCTATGCAATTTTTAATGCTGGCCATTACGGAAGGCCAGGCGGTGGTTCGGGCAATAAGATCTCGACCACGGCTCCACACGTTAAATTTTATTTCATTTTAGTTTGCAGAAATTACCGAACTTTACGGTAAAATTAGAAATGGATGTTTTGCGTATTGGAGTAATCGTACGTCTCCGTTCTTTTTTGGGTGCCGATTTTCCACGTTAAAATGACTTTATTGAATTTATTCTTTATTTCAGGAGAAGAAATTTACTTAAAAGAATTCTAATCGATTGCTACGGCTTGGAAATATTAATGAATCTGCTGAAGACGAAGAGCGACGTTTTCGAGATCGCGGTCAACAGTTTGTGCGCCTTGTGCCAACACTTCGTACGCCCGTTCGACGTGGCCCACCCCAGCGTCGGCGACGAAATTAGGACGAAAGACCATAAAGCCACGTGCAGATACGCCGTGGACGGCGACGGTTACGACGTGAAATTCGTTCTGGACGACGGCGGGAGCGTGGGTGCTAGAAGATCTCAACTTGTGCAGAAGTCTTCCTTCTTCCAAATCATGCTGCAGGGTTCGTTCGCCGAATCGGCTCAGGAAAGCATCAAGTTGCCCGAAGTTTCGGAACGAGCTCTCGAAGTCATATTTCATTACTTGTACGACTGCAAAAACATGTGTTTCAAATTAACTTCGGCCGCCACCTCCGTCCTTTTGGAGCTGATGGTCGTCTCCGACCGATTACTCTTGAAGGAACTAGAAAGTCGCGTGGTGGAGGAAATCGTCGTTCGTCTGTCGCCGGAAAACGTCTGGAACGTGTATTTACATTCCAAGAAGTACAATTATGTGGAACTGAATAACGCGGCTCTCGCCTACATTCTAGTAGGCGACATGCAATCTGAACGACGATGTCGCGCCGTCTCTAGTCTCTTTGCTCTGGAAGAAGCGGCAAATCACGTGGAAACTTTCATCAGAGACAAATTTCCAGAGTCCAAAGATCAACCTCTGTACAAAAGACAAAAATCTAACGAAGGTTCCTAACATTAAAATATTCCCGTTTGCCATCAAATTGCATTTTGGAAGGAAAATCGTATTTATAGAAAACAATAATTTGCATAAAAAATAAGATTTAGTATTTCTATGTTACAAAATATATGTAACATGTTAATATATGCTGTATAATAAATGCCAATGCACGTGTGCGCGCGCGCATTTATCGTATACGTCCGTGTACAGTACATTGGCGGGTAAAGACGTTCGAAACGAATCTACCAGGAAAGAGGCGCGTAAACTTTATACGTTAAACCGTTGTTTTCTGTACCCGAACCGTGTCGTTTTTTGAATAAAAAAAAAAACGTCTTTCTTTACAGAATGGAGATTCTTAAATGGCTCGGTAGGGGATATTTAAATTTTTCAAAAGTGAAATGCGGACAAAAGACAGCCGGTGTTAAATTTTTTCAGCATTTCAAAATTCGCCGGTTAGAAACCTTCGATATTTTCTCCGCTCGAAATCAAATTTTAAGATTATTTAAAACTTTCCCATCGTAAAAAAATAATTACTTTTACTAATTTAGTCGATAGAAATGCTACGCAACCGGCACTGGTCCCACATTATTGGCATTTTTTCGCCACGCGTGCAAGGCGCTACGTTCGATACGAACGTGTAACCCGTATAACACGACGGTAGACATACTTTTACTACCCAATGTAACGATATGTAATTGTTTATCGAGACTTCATAGAAAAGTTGCAAATTTATGTAACGGAATGGTGGAAAGAAATGAAACAAATTGGAATCTCGGTTTGATTTCTTAACACCGTAACGTTACATTCCGAATATATCTTTAAAATTGTACTGTACTTATTACAGCAGTAGAACAAGTTGTTTAAATCGAGTAATTATAACTTGGGTTTTCTTCCGAAAATATTGTAAATGGACGGTAATTAGGTTCTCCTCCCGTAAATTTGCCCGTAAACACCCAAAGTCTGTACAGACGAGCCGTTTTACAACACCAGAGGGCGAGAGGCAGATAGCGCCCCAAGCGATTATTTCGAAAGTAACTTTTCCGGCGACGAGTGGCGTGGATAGTAATTACTCTTTTAATTAATACGAAGACTTACGGATCGACGTCGGCGGAAATAAAATTTTCGGAAGGTCCCACGGGGGTGAAATTTACCCTAGGTAGCCAAGATGGCCGCGCTTCCTGTAGCCTCAGATAAGGTCGCTGGGAGCGACGGTCGACGTAGAAAGCTCCTTAGATATTCGCGACGGATTAATTATGCAAATTAGTATCGGACGGCAACGTGCGAGTTTGAAGTGACAACGGGGAGAGAGATTTTGAATATCGAAAAGGTGGGAAAAAAAAGAAAAAAGGCGAGGTTTGTGCGATTAAAATTGATTTCTTAAAGATTTCTAATAATGGAAAATTTAGTAGAAATTAATAGCGAAGAATTTTGGTCGAAGTGCACGAGTGGGCAGTTTTACCGACTTTTGGAATCGGAATATGCAAATTTAGGCTTACATGCCGGAATTGGTAGCGACTTCAAATTTGCCGGAAGTTTAGGCATTCAGCACGTCGAGGACGTTTGTAGAATGTGTTCCAATAAGTGTAAGATAATGTACAGTACAGATACGATAGGAATTCGTGCGTTATGAGGTGCGAAAAATGCAGGTGGAACACACTGAATTGGATCATTTATAAGTTTGTCAATTCCGGAAGCACGGTTCACACGGACGAGTGGAAAGGTTACAACAACATAGACAAACTGGAAGGACTAGACATCGAACACAGAACGGTCAACTATTCGGAGAATTTTGTCAATCCGAAAACCGGGGTGCACACCCAAAAAATCGAACGACTGTGGGGTCATTTGAAAAACAAGAACTTGCCAAGACACTACACGGAGGATCTACCCGACTCGTACTTGTATTCGTTCATGTACAAAAAGTTGTTAAATTGGCCGTCGAAAAAACCCGGCGAAAAGTTTTACGCATCTGCGCAACATATATCCCGGTTCCGGAAAACCAGCAACGTGGAAAGAACCCGAGACCGTACCCGCCGCCCCTCCAGTTTCGACAAGCGGAAAGAAAGCGAAATAAACAAAAAACGTCGGTTCCAAAAGAAAGCGCACGAGCAAAAAGCAGTCGACGTTCGGAAAAACCAAACGTCGTCGCAAAAGAGAACCCGGCGAACAATAGAGAGTAAGTAATCTGTTTTTTCTTTAATTCGATCTCTTCCTTTTTCGCGGCGGCTCCGCCGCCGCCGCGAGTGCAAACCAAAGATGGCGACCGGAAGTACCGACCGAATCGGCGACCGCCGCCATCTTGGCTACCTAGGGTAAATTTAACCCCCACGGGTAAGTGTATAAAAATATATTGTAAAAGAATCGCGGCGTGTAGCGACACAGAGAGAACAATTTAAATTTCTAACTTTAGTTTTATCCGACACTTAAAGCAGTATTAATAAGCCGGTAAAAGATGCTTTGAACAGAACTAATTAAAAAATTGCGTATTAATTGTCGAGTAGACCATTCGGTAGAGTACGTGATGTTATATAATTTTAGGGGTTTGGGAGCTCGCACGGCCCGATTTTGGGGGACTATATCTTGTGAAGGGTCGCCCGTACGGGTGTGGTTCATTAGACATTTATTGATCGCAAAGAGGGGGTCTACCGGTAGGGGGTTCCCCCTCGCCACGTGACCTGCATTTGTACCAGTTAATGCAATAATTATTTGTTAAAGACACCCATTGTCGCTTTATGCAAGTTATGTTAACTTGCGAGCGTGACGTCCGCCAGCAAGATGGTGACCGGAACTGGCGTTGTTGGGCAGTTCCGATTTTCCGGCAACTTCCACGTTTGGAGACTAATATCTGGCAAAAGATCGACCGTCGGACTTTATTCTTTGCCGATAGCAATGTTTTGGTAGAAAAATAACCTAACGTTGTAAAAGTTTTGGACCGGTATCGATAGTTTTCGCTAAAAAACCTGCGGACGAAAAGGGTGTGGTCTAGAGGTTCTTACAAAGTGCCCTCTATCCTACTTTGAAATCTTCGGGTCTGGCCGACCTTAGCTGTTTAGGAACGGGCAACCCGGCCGCGTAAAACATATTTTGCGCCCCACGGATTTAACGCTAAAGATTCAATGCGCTCATTCCGGCCACGAAAAAACCTAGGTTTAAATTCGGGTACGGCTAGACCCAGTGGCGCGCACGAGATTTCATCTCGGAGAGCCGAATTGAACCAATAAAAAATATTTAACAAGAACTCGATAAAATTCCCACCTTATGTCATCGCCAATTCGTAAGTAATATAAAAATAAAACACGACACAATATAAATAAAAAAAATTAATTTTTAATTGGGAATATATTTTTGGAAAATTTTCTAATGTTTCTTTTACTTTGCGGGTGCCGGGGCCCTTTGGTCCACTCCTCGGGTGCGCCACTGGTTAGGCCACGAAGGCATTGTTTGATCCATCCACTTTGCCTCAAAAATGACAGAGGTCGAGTAACTGCAAGACATAGGCAACGCGGCCACGGGAGTTCACCAAATTTACAATATTTCTGAGAACACTGGGAGTTCGGTCGTGGGTTTGCGCCTCGCCAGAACGTGGAGTTTTCCGGGTTTTCTCCACTTCTGTAACGCCTGAGTAGGGACCAGTTACCCTTAAAAAGTCCTCCCGGATAGCATCCCCCTAGGCAGATCGCCCAAGTGTTGCGTTGCCATAACTTAATAAACAGACAGAACGTTTTTCCGAACGGTCCAACCGGGCTCGGTCGCCCGTTCTGAGGACCGATGATGGCAGACTAAAGTCTGGCCTCATATTCGTGTTAGTAGTCTGTCTTTCTAAACAATAGTCCTTTTGAGGCATGCGTTTAGAATTGGGAATGAATCGTCACGGTAATTGGCTGCAGATGCCACGTGATTTTAATGTCACTGCCTTCGCTTTCTCCTGCAGTAGCACTTAATTGCATTACTCGTATACGGGTTAGGCCAGAAAACACATACGTAAAATTGTGTGGCAGAAAACTGAATGAGAAATCAGCTTTCAGTTCAGTTTCTGTTTTACGCTTTTATGCCAGAACACACATACGTAAAAATTCTGGCCGAATAGAAAACACCACTGCCACCAACAGTACTAATTTTATTAATTTTTTCCTCTCATATAGGCTATTTATCCCTTTGTACCTTCCATTTTTTCTCCACTTCCTCTGCTATAATATAGAAAATTTAAATTAATAGACTTGTATTCCAAATTCAAATAAAGAACGTGTGATCTAAATACTAGGCCTATATATCGATTCTACTAGACTTACCTGTTATTTGAAATTTAACACCTGTATCCATCCATAAACGTTGTTTAAATACAGTGTCTTTATACATGAGACTGATTTGGTCGAGCGGATTCAATAAACTCCTCTATTTCATTTATTTTTCGTTTTTTCGAGACCATCACAATTGTAAGGTTAACCCTCATTGCCGCCATTGTTAGAATAAAAACCACGTGTCTACTTCGACGTCACAGGAAAGACTTCTCTTTATTGGAGGAATTTTGGCGTAAAAATTTTTCGGCGTAAAAAGTAGAGACATGCTCTACTCTATTTTCAGTTTTGTTTCAGCCAAAATTTCAGAAAAATTTTTACGTTTTCTGTTTTATGCTAGATTTTACGCCGAATTTTACGCATGTGTGTTCCTGGCCT